GTAAAACCAGCGAGCCAGAAAGCACATCCGGCATACATCACCTTGTCCATACCGTCGACAACCCAACCTACCTGCTCGAAGTATCGCGCCACCCATACCTTGTCGGCTTTCGCAAAGTTCGACAGAATCGTAAAGATCATGCCCAGGACAACGATAAATACCATGCTTGCCATATAATTCAGGACGCGGTAGGCTGCCAGCATGTCCTCACTTCTGCCGCACGAGCCGTGCACATTTGAGCAAGTACATAGGGCGTCACCTTCAGCCTCACTACACAATGCAAAATCATGGATGTCGGTTGGGGTGCCGTCCAGAGCATATGTAATCGTCAGGAACAAGGCCGCGACTAAAGCCTGCACCTGTGAACGATCATTCACGTTTTCTTTCAAGCCTGACCAATCTTGCGCAGACAAGCTTTCAGAAGCCATTCGCAGTGCTCTTTATCTGTGGCTCACCTGGGATGGGACAACGACTTGAGCCAGCTTGGCTTGAGCCAAAATGGCTACGGACCCACCACCACAGGATGGGACAAATTGGTTCGGCCCCTTGGGTTGCTCTTCACTTCCAGACGCGCTTACCACGCCAATTCGGGCCCCGCGGCGCAAGCTGCCCACAGCGCCTACCATCCCCGATCCCAGGCCCTGGATCAAAGAAACAGCCGTCGACGTGAACCAAAAATTGTTGCGGCCCCCTGGTGGCCCCGCGCTCCCAGCACGACCACTAACCCGACCACTAGTACGACCACCAGCACTACCGCCAGCACGACGAACCACCAGCATGACCCCCAGCACTACCACGAGCACAACCACCAGCACCAGCAGCACAACCACCAGCGCAACCACTGGCACGACTTCCAGACCACAAACCAGCACGACCACGAACACGACCATCAACGCGACTACAATCCGTGACACATGATATGTGTTATGCGCAAGGCAACTGTCATATACCCTCAAACCACAACATACCCAACACCCCCAAATCGTCAAGATCACGGCACACATGAAAACATACCCCACCCTTAAACCATCAAGTTCACGAACACACCACTGTATGTCGTTCGTATACCGTTGTGGGATGCGATACCCGCGCTCCTCCACAAAGGATGAGGATGAGGAACAAGATGTTGCAGCGAGCGAGCAATATCTGGTGTGTATATGTATATGCGTAGATACACACGCATCCATACAATGCCGAAGGAACAGGCACGCGTAACAAACACACGCACGCACACACACACACACACACACACACACACACACACACACACACACACAACACACACACACACACACACACACACACACACACACACACACACACACACACACACACACACACACACACACACACACACACACACACACACACACACACACACACACACACACACACACACACACACACACACACACACACACACACACACACACACACACACACACACACACACACACACACACACACACACACACACACACACACACACACACACACACACACACACACACACACACACACACACACACACACACACACACACACACACACACACACACACAACACACACACACACACACACACACACACACACACACACACACACACACACACACACAACACACACACACACACACACACACACACACACAACACACACACACACACACACACACACACACACACACACACACACACACACACACACACACACACACACACACACACACACACACACACACACACACACACACCACACACACACACACACACACACACACACACACACACACACACACACACACACACACACACACACACACACACACACACACACACACACACACACACACACACACACACACACACACACACACACACTTTTTCCGTCAGCGGCGAGGCGGCGAACTCCGCTCCAGCGAGAAGCTAGAAAGGGGCAGCAAGTATCGAAACGCACACACACACACACACGCACATATATAGTCAATGCGAACAGGCACGCACGCATGAATCACATACACCTGTAACACACAAAGCTTGCACACACTAGACCTCGAGAAGGACACACGCAACTGACAAGTACAAATAACAATCTCAACGAGTATCAGGAAACTGCTGATCATTAGAGACGACAAGCTACATATGTAAAGAACATGCGCCACCGTGCCTTCAGTACGTAGTGTAATACTCCAAGGCTCAAACAGATGTTAAGGTTCGAGGAAGTGTGAATATTCACGCGTCCAGACCACCAATCTGCCAGAACTTCTGAGCCCTTCTGGCGTTTGTCGCGCGGGTCGCGTGGGTCTCCAGAAAGCCAAGCCCGCCCAAACAACTTCCAACATACCCCAGAATCAGGGCTCCGTGAACGGGGACTTTCACGGAAATCAAGACGTTGGACACTGGCACGCCCGAGAGAAGTGCAGCCGTGGGTCCGAAACCTTAGCCTTTCTGCGTTTTCCCTCCAGGCGGATTTGTTCTAGGTCCGGGCTTGCAATGCCCT